CCCCAAAACCCCAAAACCCCAAAACCCCAAAACCCCTAAAATATTCAAAAATATTGAAATGATAAATATTAATATGAAAGACAACGAGATTGATGCCCAAGATCATCCGATGTACAAAGTCAATACAATGACCAATGAAATCGACCATGAATGCAACTTTATAAACCCAGATGGGAAGGTCAACATCGGCAAGCTCAGATATGACAAGGATAAGCTCTTTGAGGCTGAAGGAGTAGAGTCCTGCTTTGAGTAAGATTTCATCATTCCTTATCTAAGGGATACATCCATATTCGGTGCTTATAATTCCCTACAGCTTCAATACAGATAGACTAAATGGATGGAAAGAAATTTCCAAAATTATTTTCACCTCTGACCAAAAATTTAAGACTTATCTACATAACTACAGAATCGGGCTGAACAAATAGCTATGGTAACGGAATCAGAGTAACTGCTTCTAGGTCAGGAAATGAAGAATTTTCCAATGTATTCAGTCCTAATTCCTAAGCCAAAAGAAGAAGCTATAAAAGCCAAGATGAATAGAAGAGGTGGGTTTGAAGATTTTTAAGAAAATTATGATAAATTGTGATATCTAGCATCAAAAGTTAAAAAGTTCCCCCAAAAATAGGGTTGCTTACCTGCCTCATTCTCAGATCGGTACCATATAGCACATAATTTTACAGAGCAAAACAAGCACAAGGCCAAATTCTTGCCAAGAGTCCCTACCACCATTGGGTAGAGATCTTGTAAGCAAAATGAAGAATTTAAAAGCAATTGAAAAGGAGTATTTAAAGTCGATTCTAACCATTTTAGCAAAAGGCGCCCTACTAAATCACATACTCCTTGAGCACTCCGCTCATACAATGTATTTTTATACCTCATATTCAGATTTTTGATCCACCAAAGAATGGGCCTATGCTAGATGAGACCTTAGACTCAAAGAACACAAAGAATGCTAAAAAAAGTAAGAATAAAATTAATAATATCTGATATTTTTATTTGCCAATAAAATTACTTATATTCATAATTCTCAGTGATGATTCAGTATTAAACCTGATTAGAAGTTATCTTATCTGAATGATGCAGCCGGACTTGTATGCTTATTGATTAAAGATAGTCAAAATTGGTCAGAATAAAACATCATGCTTAAATCCTTCCTTTTTGGTTTTATCATTCTTGTATTTTTGCGATTCTGTTGGAGTAGATTTTGATAACTTTATAGCACCAAACAATCTGATAAAGTCTTTTAATCTGAAAGAAAAGGATCCAGAAATATTTGATATAAGCAATATTTTGGGAAAAACGCTTAAGAATAAAAGCCCAAATAAGCGAATCAGAGTGAAATCTAGATATATTAGTCAACGTAAAACTTCTTTATGGGCTGCATTGTAAGTGATTTACTACAATTTTGTAAATAATTGCTGATTTTTTAACTTGACAAACCAAGAAAAAAACACATTTTTCTAATAATCCAACCCTCCAAGGTCTTAGAAGGGGCTATATTCCACCCAAATCTCTTCCCTTCCTCCCTTCCTTACCCCAACCCCTTCCTAACTCCTCTCACAGCAAACCCTCCCAGCACCCATCCCCTCAGCCCCAAAGCCCAACCTCCATTCTCAAAAATCTGCAGCTAAAACAGAAGCTTCAGCCTTCACTTGCCTGGTCAGATCCGAAGACTCTGTACAGCTCCTTGACCAGCACCCAGAACAGAGACTCTCCGAAATCACCATTTGTGAGTACCTTTAGGATAATGGTTTAGACTGGGCTGAGAAATAATAGGTACAGAGGAGCAGCATTTATGGATAAGCCGATTGTAACTTGTGCGTTAAGGTTTTAATAGGGATTTTAAGGGGTTTTGGGTGAATTTTTAGAAAAAAGAGATTTTTAGGGTTGGGAGGGAGGTAGGGGATGTTTGGAGGGATTTTGAGAGGTTTTAAATGGGGTTTAGGGTATGTGGGGTTTTGTAGACCGGAAAAATTGTTTGAGGAAGGTTTTTTGGTGAGATTGGGTTTTCAATATTATAGTTTAATATTGGGGTTTTGGGGTTTTGGGGTTTTGGGG